TTTCCCTATAGTACATTTTAGTTTCCTAACACAGAAGCAATAGGTTAATAAAGACTTTAGTTTCTTGTGGGAGATTTAAAAATCAATTTTACAATTGGGAATTCTGAGCATGTATAAATTAAGAGAATTAAAATTAGAAAATAAGGTTTATAGAGCTACTCCTCATGCAAAGGTAAGTACAAAGATCAGAATATTTTCAAGGTCAGGCTCTTAATGAGGAATTAAATTAGATAAAAGTATTTTACAGGGTTATGTTGAAAGTTTTTAAAAATAGCTATTTCAAAATAGCGCTAAAGAGAGAAAAATACTCAGTATAATCCTGCTCTAAACATCAATTCACAATATAGTTTCTATTAAAGTAGGTAAGTAAATCAATTATGTACAATTTGTAAACAAACGACTGGAAGAATCACATTATGAATAACACATGCTGTAGTGTGGGTTTAAAAGACATTTACAGCGGGGAACTCTATCTCGTTAACATGCATTTTAAATATTAAAATATGTAATTCCATCTATTGCTAAATCATATTTGTGTATAATTTTTGTAATATCTGTTTTATCAGCATGTACTTTTTAATTCCTGCAGAGAGCTTCTTTGGGAATCACCATTTTTAGCAATATTGGTAATATTTTCATCAGATCATTTGCACTGTGAATGACTAGCTAATTTAACTGCACAAACTTCTAGGTCAAATTATAGCTGTAATTGCAGCATAGTTTTAATATAATTGCTAGCTATAACATTAGCTATAATTCTACAAAATAAAAACAAAAGTTATTGAATTAAATATTACCACATTTGAGCCCATTATGTTTTCTGAACTATTAACATAATAGCGGCAACATAAACCATAGCCTATTACAGCTGAAAAGTACTTTTGGATTGCTCTGGTGGGCAAGTAACATATTAAACCAGTCTAATACTTAACAAAGGTGAACTATGCCTGTTTTCATCCCATGCCAACAGCTTGGGTAAGAACACTTTGTATTTTAGAAATGTGCAATTCCTTTATTTTCTGCAAGGGGCCACACATTCACAGCTCCTTCGAGTTCCACCTTCCGGCTGCTCCCAGTAAACGCTAACAGCTTCCTTTTGTTTATTGCACGACTCTTTTATATGGCCCTGCTCCTCCCCTCCAGCAACCCCACCTCCTCTCCCCAGCCAATAGCAGTTGTCACCTCCTCAGCTGGTGTAGTAGTGGAGCACGCTCCATAGACATTGAGACCAAAAGCATGGAGGACTCAACTTTACAGCTCCCAACAAAACAAGTCAAGATCCTACTGCTGTTGGACTTAGAAGACAGACTGAATAGGCTGGTGAGTGCATATTCGCTCCACTTGGGCCATAAACCCTACTTTTCTTTCTGTAATGAAGCCCAGAATCTTACAAACTTTTTGAGTTCTCCTGGCTTGAGGTTTCTGCCCTTTGCGCAGGACTTGCAGAAGAGGGAGAAGTGAGTCTCTGTCTCTCATTCTCCTTTTTTAAATCATGTTTCCTTCCCTTGACCTACACCTCTGAGAAGTTAATTCTCTATTTATTATTCTTATATTCTTATAATTATTATTCTCTATTTTCTTCTTCCTGCAAACCTCTCTTCTTCTCCATTTCTTTTGATCTATTCTTTCATTAGCAGTTTGGACTCTAGTGTGCCTGGCCATCAGAAACGGTATGGAAATATGTCTACCATCATACTCTTTAATAAAATGCAGAGTCACGTGGCATTGTTACTACTGCTATACTGACGATAATAAAATAGTTCAGATTTTGCTACCATGGACCCCTTGTTTTGTTCACCGACAGAACTTAAAGGCCTTGTAACTGCTATTATCACAATTACGATTAGTTCTCAAACCCTTGTAGCAACACCTCTGCTACCTACTGCTTAGCTAAGTTCTTATCTCTGCTGAATCAATTTGTCTGGATAAAATTGGTTTTCTCTATGAAAGTCTAGTAGTTCTTAAGACAACTTCAGATATAAAGAAACATCTCAGAAAGTCAGAGAATATTGAAATTACTGATAAGAACTTACAGATGGGGGTGATGGTGAGCTTGTTCTTAAAACCATGTTTCCCAGGCCTAGGAGACATTAGTTTTATATTCTAGAGACCTAATGTTTTTCTTTAAAGTAAAAATTTATACACAAAATAGGTATACATTGCTTCAATTATGCTTTGGCTAAATTGCCTTTGGGTTCATAACACATGCCAAGTCATGCCCTTTCAAATTATTCTGCAGAGGAACAAAAATAGTATTTGCTGCATCATAAAATAATGCTTTCTATGCTAGCCTAAGTAAGCTACCAGCAGCAGAACTAGCAAATCGTGGTTTCCTGCACGTTTCTGTCCTACTTCCTTATATCTTCTTGGGGCCCAATTATCTCCACTTTACTCTACCTATGTTTCTTAACTGCTGGTAGGTTTCAGATCACATCTGTGGCCACTGTGTGGTGAAGTCAAGGTGATACCAGTTTGGATTTCCATGTCCTATCCAGCAAGTGGTATTCATGAAACCATTAGGAATTTCGTATTTTTGAGATCTCTATCTCTTTGTTAAATGCTGTTGAAATTAGCAAAGTATCAGTGAGGGGAATGGACACACAAAATGATTATGTAGGCCTTTGTCTTTGAAACCAGAAAAGAAAATAGCCAAAGAAAGGTTCATCATGCTTCTTCATCAGTGGTTGTGAAACATTCATTCTGTGAGCAAATATATTTATTTTCAACTGATTGTTGTCTGAAAGGCAGAAACACAAGAAAACATAGAATAAAAATGTTTCTTAGCTATAGTAATAGTGAAGTAATATCATTTTTGATAACAAGTATGCATTTTAAAATATTAACTTTTGTTTCTTTTCAGGAGCATTCAGCATAAGATTACAGAACAACTTGTAGATGAGTAGAAACTACACAGAATTAGAACAAATAAGTAATGCAGCACTCCAAGAGGAACAGCAGATAACTGCAGAGCAGCTTAAAGAATTATGTTGACCTTGTAATGTCACACTTCTGCAAAATTTCTTAAAAGCTTTGGACAAAAGGTTAGCAAAAATATATTATTCTTAATTCAAGAAGAATTTTTTTTTTTTTTAAGAATAATAAGGCTCTCCCTAACTCAAAAAAGCCATGGACTTAGCTTCGAGTTGGAAGTTTGCTTTGGAATTCCTTTTATGTCAATAAGAGAGCAATGGGATTGGCCATATTCTGGTACTTTTTCTGGTCAAAGTGTGATGAGGTGGGTGGGATCTTTGCTTCTTCAAAGAAGGCTTTAGATGCCAAGTCCCACACCCGCATAGGTGTTTCGTCTCAGGTTCGCTGGGAACTCACCTGAGGGCACCTAAACACCTTTGAGGACGTGGCCCTAAGGGGGGACCTTAGCAAGGCCCTTTCTCACCGCAGGGCAGAAGGCACAAGCTTGGCTGAGCCGTGCTCCCCCTGGGGTGCAACGGGCCGCCCCGAGGCCTGGCAAAGGCCCCGCTGCCTGCCCCTCGCCAGCCGGGGGGTTCGCTTGTGGTTCCCTGTCTTTCCAGGGGTCAGGGACGCGCAC